TCTATACTGATGTCAGGTCTGTGAAATGTGACAGCAGTTTATTGGGGATTTCCACTACAAATTAATTATAAAATAGTTTATAACAGCTGTATAAATCTATTTTCAGTAGTACACTAAACTGATTTTAAAAATTGATCCGTCAAACCTCCCTTGACTTACAAATCGTTTAGACAATATCAGAATATTAGTCCTTTTAACATTAAAAATAAAAGATTTAAGATTTAGTTATTTTTTTCAATGCATTAGGTATACACATCTATAGCTGGGGGTGTGCTCTTTTCATTTTTGTATTTTGAGACAGGGTCTCAATATGAAGTTCTGTCTGGCCTTGAACTAAATATGTAGCTCAGGCTGGCCTCAAACTCATGGTGCTCCTCCTGCCTCAGCCTCCTTAGTGCTGGAATTACAGGCTGTACCAGCATGCCTGGCTACACAGCTATTTTCAATCAATATATTTATTTGAATTTCATAGAAATTCTATATGATAGATAGTTAGTAGTGTTTTGCATGTTATAAAACCCAGGTTCAGATTATTTTCCTGCTTGCCTAAAATTATCCTACAGTTGAGCGGTGGGCCACATATTGGAAGCCATTCTGTCAGTCACAAGCAGTATATTCATCCTCAGGGACAACCTGCCTCCCTTGGGAATACAACTGCAGACTGTGCTTTAAGAGGCAAAGATAAACCTCTTTTCCTAACGAAGCATTTCTATGAGAGTGAAAAAACAATATGATCATGAAAATCAGAAGTTAAGAATTTTCACCGAAAGCCTTTTTTTCTTCCTAGAGGTTGTGGGAAGGTGGGGTGAGTATTGGTATCTGGATTGTCCCTTGTAGATTTTATTTCTGACCTTATTTCAGCAGAGATGGTGTAAATATGATGACGTTTCTACTCATGAACACATGTCAGAGGCTTTCAATTCAAATCACTGGTGTCACCTCTGATATTTAAGATACCATGGAATTTATCCAAATTTAAGATTATAAAGAGATGAAACCAAATCCAGATACAGATGTAAAAAGAGAAGCAGATGCTGATATAAATGTAGATGCAAATATAGTCCTTGTTTTCTTATATAAAATATTTCCTGTCAATGTGGGGACCAGAATTCTATCTGCCTGGTTATTTTAAGGGTTCCTGTGTAATCCATGGGGTACAGTGCTTAGAGAACAGCGTGTACGTTTCAGCTTACTTCTTGAGAAAACAGTGCCGGGAACAAGTTATATAAAAGTTCACTGTACCCTAACCAAGATTTTATTTCTATTTTATGTTTAAATTTCATTCTTTAGATTATATATCGTTCTTGTTCCACATTAAATTTTAAGTGAATTTAATTTTAAAAGTAATATTTAAAATACTCTAACAAATAAAAATTATATAAATTGTGTTTTAAGTATAATTAAAGAAATAGAAATTTTAAAATCTGTTTTAATTATACTCCTCTTGGCCATCGCCCCCTTTATTTCTGTAATGTCACTATTCCCTTCCATGTCTTCTCCTCTTCATCTTTCAGCACACAGGCATTCACTGGGTTCTGTGGTTTGTGATTTTTAAAAAAGTCATCATATTTTCACCATCTTTGTATACATTATTGTAGTCCACCAAATGATGTGTATTATTGCTTTATTCCTTTGAGAAGCACCAAATAGATAAATTTCATTAAGCTGCTGCCTGGTAGTTCATAAGAACATATTGTACTTTAGGTCCATTTTCTCCATCAGATGTTGTAAGTACTTTAATATGTCTTTCTTTAGATTTTGTTTGGCAATGTGAAGAAGACAAATATGAATGCTATTGTGAGTGCTTTATGGGATGCTTTCACTAGGTCAAATGCTTATTTTTAAAGAGAATTGTTGTCAAATTTCATAAGGACAAATGTAATTTTGTTTTCATAAGGCTGATGAGTGAGCCTCATTTTTAATTTGCATCTTCCTGATTCAAAAGTGTTGGAGAAAGTGTATACTTGAGCTAGTAACCTGTTGTAATTTTCTTTCTGAACATTAAGTAACAGTTTTATTCTTCTTTGAAAACAGGGTAGCATATGGGAGATTTATAGAATATGTGTGTGTGTGTGTGTGTGTGTGTGTGTGTATGTGTATTTTCCCACTTTTAAAAATAGTTTGTTTAGGGGCTGGGGATTTAGCTTACCGGCATAAGCGCCTGCCTTGCAAGCATATGGTTGTGAGTTCGATCCCCGGTTCAGATAAAAAATAATAATAATAATTTGTTTATATGAAATGTCATCCTATAAAATATTTAAATTCATTATATATCTCTTCAAATGTTTTCAGGTAAAAATTCATTCTCCTACATAATCATTCCTTTAGTATGCATTTTATCTTTTTTTTTTATACTAGGGATTGAACTCAGGACCTTGCATTTACAAGGCAGGCTTTTATGCCACCGAGCTATATCTCTGACAGTATGCATTTTCAAAATAATTTTGTTTGACATATATGTTTATTTCAGCCACCTTAAATATATCATTTTTGGATCAACAAGATAGGATATTTTTCCAAATAGAAATTCAAAGTTCTAATACTAGCTACCAAAGACTTCAACATTTTGTAATTTTAACTGATTCAAACAGATTCAAATGTAATAAATTCATGTATTTTTTTTTGTCTTTTTCGTTTTTACCGGTACCAGGGATCGAACTCACAACTGCCTGCTTGCAAGGCAGGCGCTTATGTCGCTGAGCTAAATCCCCAGCCCCAAATTCATGTATTTTTTATTGACTGCCTTTGAACTCTGCCATCTGCTTCTTCCAGAACTTCTTAGCTGTCACAGACTCACACTGTACTTCAGTACCTGAAAAGGAACGCTCACTCATTTGTTCTCTTTAAAAAGTGACCTTAACCATGGTGTATATCAACTGTTCCTGAATTTTGCAACGTGCTTTTCAAGTTTTAATAAAAACTTTTGTTACCATCTTTTCATAATTACTATGAAAGATTATTGTTTTCCAGCTTTCTATTGAATGTGCAGATTAACGAGTTTCCTTTGGGCAGCTGTGTCCACATACAGAAGAGATTCTCTTCAGCTTCATCCCTCCACCACCCTCTGCTACTTTTTCCAGTGTCACATTGTGGTTATGTGTGCAGTTGAAGTGTGTATAAAAAAGTAAGTTTGGTTTTTAACCAATGACTGTATTGATTAATTTAGAAAAATTAATTTGTTTTATTTCTGCTTCTTAACAATCAAGCACAAAGTAAAGTTTTTCAGAAGTTTTAATCTTTTTTATGTATTTCAATAAAATTCTATAGTTAAGAAAAGGATTCTTTTTCCACAGAAAAAAGAGATGACTTGTCTTAGTTACTTTATGATCGTTGCTAAGACAAAATACCTGATGCTCAAGTTGGGAAAGGAAATATTTATTTCTTACAGTTTTTGGAGGTTTCAGTCCACACTCAGTTGGCTCCAAGACAGGCAGGCATGGCTGGACCGCCATTCATGGTGGCTGCAAACAGCAAGCTCCAACCAGCAAAGAGAGAGACACACCTTCTTCCTGCCATTACATCACATCCTGGCTCCAACCCCTATGTGGGTGGAGCACTGACACCATTGATCTAAGCATTAGACAATGAACTGTAACAAATGCACAGTGCAAACGCATGAGGCCTGAGGGACACAGACATAAACCATGACAAGACTCAAAGTTAAAATAAGTTTAAAATTTTCACTTAAAAAATTCACATTACAGGTCAAGGCCCATCACAATTGATCTTTTCCTAAATAACACTTTCAGAGATTTTAGAAGTTACACCAGACAGTACTAACTAGAGGTCCATGGATTGATTTCAAAGCAATTTTAAACTATCTACAGTCCTATTCAAAATCTCTATGCAGGTTGAAAGCACCTTCCCTAAAACCTTTTCTCCCATACACTACAAAGTGCATTATCTTCTTGTTCTATTTCATAAATATGATAACAAATTTTCATTAATGACAGCAGTTTTTTTGTAAAACTGACACTTGAGTGTAGCATTTGTGTGATACACTTTTCCATCAAGATATTTTTAACTTCAGTGCACTTTATTTTGTATTAAATATTTCCTTGTTTTCACTGACAGTTTCTAGGACATGGCTTCATAAACATACCATGATCCTGGTAAAGCTAAAAATGAGGTCCAGTTTGTTCGATTCAGAGACAAAGATGCTGAAAAGGATGAAGTCAAGAAAATCCCTGGATGCAATTTATCTCCCCGTACTCCTTCCCTAGTTGTGCCACTGCAAAAGGAAGTGCTAGCAAACAAGGCTCTGGTGAAAACCACAGGGCTTCTGCATTATGCTGAAGAACAGACTGGGAAATACAGTAAATTCTAGGAAGCCACAGCAGTGCTAGAAGCCCAAACTGTGGACCGACACTTCTCTCCAAAGATCTGCTTCCTGCTTTTCCTCTCCCTTTATGTGTTAAAAGAAATGTGCAAGGAAGGATTCTAAAGGCACTTTCTGAGATGATTACTGCGAGAGTCACCGTTTAACATACGGCACTGATTAGTCTACTAGACACCTTTGCACATTCAGAATTTAGCAGTTGTAGTCACTGGGAAAGGCCAAGAATTGTAAAGCCTGCTGACCTTTGAAGAGTAGATAAACTCTGGGCTCTTCATGTATGGTGCAGATTTAGAAGCCTCTGTTAAGCTGTAATATTGAAATTCCATCTCAAAATTAAACTGGAAAAAACATGCTGCATTTTTTAACTTATTCAACTTGCTGTTCAAGGTAAGCGTAAGCCTTTGGAATTCATCACAGTTGCAATTTATTGACTATTTGCACTATATTTATTGCGTTTGAACACTAATCAACTATACTGTGAGTAGGTGTTCTCCATATTAAGCTAATTTGTATATTCCTCGCTCCAATTATATTGATTGGATCATGATACATAGTCAACACCTGTTTATTGAAAAAGCAAATGACTTTGAAAATAAATCAATAGTTTCATAAAGTATAGTGTTTCAGGTACATTATCCTCTCTTTCTAAGTAATCAAGTCTGCAGAAGTAATGGAGTATGAAAATGTTACGGAATTTATACTCCTAGGTCTTTTTAGTGATGAGGATGTAAAGGCTATCTGCTCTGTGCTCTTCTCACTTTGCTATCTTGCAATCCTCTCAGGAAATCTGGTCATGCTCCTCACCATCAGGGGCAGCCACCTTCACAAACAGCCCATGTACTTTTTCCTCAGCTACCTGTCTCTCATGGATATGGGCTTCACTTCCACAGTGGCCCCCAAACTGATCATAGATCTTTTGACTCGGTGGAATACCATCTCCTATAACGGCTGCATCGCCCAGATGTTTTATGCCCACTTCTTTGGTGCCACTGAGATCTTCATCTTGGTGGTCATGGCCTATGATCGCTATGTGGCCATCTGCAGACCCCTTCACTATATGGCTATCATGAGCAGACAGATGTGCTATGTCCTTTTGATGGCCTCTGTTGTTGGAGCCTTTCTGCATTCATTCATGCAGGTATTGATTATTATTGATCTTCCCTTTTGTGGCCCCAGTCAGATAGACCACTATTTCTGCGACATATTCCCATTGCTGAAGCTCGCCTGCACTGACACAAGGCACTTGTTTATTACAATCATTACCACCACAGGGGTGCTGTCCATTTTGACCTTTGTTGCCTTGGTGATTTCTTACATCATTATCCTGTCCACCTTGAGGGCAGGCTCCTCCCAGGGCCGCCGCAAAGCCCTCTCCACCTGCGGCTCACACATCACTGTTGTGTTCCTGTTCTTCCTGCCTCTTATCTTCACCTATGCCCCCACAGCTGATTCCATCAGTGATGACAAGGTGTTAGCTCTCTTTTACACTGTGATTGCACCATTGTTCAATCCTCTCATCTACGCACTTAGAAACACGGACATGAAGAAGGCCATGAGGAAAGTGTGGTGTGGAGACCAACTGTTTGGAAGGAACTGAGGTCTCTGCTGCTGAAGTCACCATTCAGCCTTCTGCCCACAGAATCAGCGTCATCAAATGCAACAGGTCTGAGAGCTGGAGTCAGAAGTCACTAGACTTGGCAAGAAAATGTTCCCTCTTGATTTCTGTTTATTATTCTGTGCTTGTATCCTCGGGACATGGATTCCTTCTCAAGTTTACTTCCTGTAATTTACTTTGTTTATCCAAATCCTAAATATAATGAACTTGGTGATAATGTTATCAGCACAAACTAAATATTCTGCATGGTTTAGCAGTTGTGCCTTAACTTAGAAACCAAAAATTTTGACTGAGACCTGTGTTGTAGCAAGAAGTCCTGAGCATTTCCTTTTTGAGGTATTCATTGCAGATCAAAGGTAAAGAATTGTTAAAATGACCAAGGCTGGTCAAAAATAAGATTAATGTTTAAAATTTTACATGCTTATTACATTGAAGACACATTTCCAAAAACAGTAAGTGTGCTTGATGCTAGGAGAGTATTTTGAAGACAGGTTAAAGGCAATTTATCTTTTACTATAATAAATTTTTAAAATGTTGTATTCCATATATATTTGATCAGCTTACATTGATCAAATCAATTCCTGTCAAATAAAACATGTGACCTTACCCAATTAATTTACTGAATCTGGCACTGTGCAGCTTTTGGTTCTCTGCAAGAGAAGGTGCATTGATTGAGAACTGCCAGGCAGTCATTACAGCGCACCAGGAGATGTTAGAAAGGATGTCAACAGCTTTTTCAAGCAGTGGCAAAAGTGATGGGACAAATATGTTTGAAGGGAAGGGGAATACTTTGAGGAAGTTGAATAGCAATGTGTTTTTCAGTGTAATAAGTTTTTAAAAACATGAAAGTATTCACCTTAGTTTTAGATCACACTATGTATGTGTTGTACATTGTAATTATGTTAAGAAATTATGATTCTAAAGTGAGGTAATGCAATGTAATTATTCCTTGCACTTCTCTAATTATTTACTTTTGTTTGATTAAAGTTATTGTAGTTAATCCTAAGTACCGTATTGGTGATGTATTTTAGTAATTAGAATTTTCAAATTGGGGTAATAGTGTAATAAAATTGTTGGAATAAAAATTTCCAGTACTCATCCCCACAGAAAAGTAATGATCTGAATAACTGCCCAACCACATACACCTTCAAAGGAGTTAAAGAAACCAACCATGTGACGGTTTATAGTGCAAAGCATATAGCACAGATGTAAGGAGAGATACACTGGAAAAGGAAAAAGTCTTACTTTTTCCATTTCCTTTACCCCAGAAATGGAGAAAAGTGGAATCTGGTGCAGTGCAGACCCTCTCAGCCCCATGTTATAGTCCCAGTATATGTGAGCGCAGGCTATAGGACACTCTCAGTGGATGGAAGAAGGAGACCTATCTCAGTGCTCAGAAATCTTGGTAGACTGGAGTTCAAATCCCACTCCAAAGTGACACACTCTGTCATGGGCTCAGGCTGCAAGTTGGTCCCTGAGGACCCAGACTCACTCCTGTGTGCCTGATGAACAGACACTTCTCAGGTGAGCCAGACTTCAAGAATTCACAGAAGCACGCACTAGGGCTGCTCATCTGTTGACTAAGGTACCAAACCAGCTCTCCAAAGGATTTTTGCAGCAAGCTTTTCAACCATTTGCTGTACACTGAAGTTTACCCACAACCCTAGATTTACTCTTATTTTTGTCTTTAGAAGCTTGAGTATCGTGGAGTATAAGCAACTAACACCTTCTCTGTGATCTGGAATGGAAACACTTGGAAAATTTTTTCTTAGAAAAATAGAAGAATGTCAAAACTCAAGAAAAACCTTCAGGAAAGCTAAAAGTCACAAAAGAACAGAAGACAATGCATAGAGCAGAGTGAATCAGTCTGGAATGCTAACACTGGATCCCAGAGTGAGTAGAGGAGCCCAACTCTACATGCATAAGATGAGACTGAGAAGAGCCAAGAGAGCTGCAGTCTCAGTCATAACAGCAGGAGGGTAGCACTGGCCCAGGAAGAATCCGTGATTATTTTAAGCTGTGATACAAGGTGGGGTTTTTCTCTGAATGTCACTGCCTCTTCATGGCAGTCATGAAACATGACCTCTGCAGTGGCAAACAAGGAACCACTGACTGATCCAGCCCAGCAAAACAGATAGACAAGACTCAGCATTCATATAGAAAATCCTGTTAAGTGGATGTGAACACAGAGAAAGTCCAGTTATGATTCACTTTTCTTCCCTCATATTTAGTGGATTCCAATATTGCAAGGAAAATACTGATTCTATTTATTTTTAATTCTTTTTTTCGATTCTTTTTATTAGTGCATACTTGTAGTGCACAATGATTATATTCCTCATGGGAAGTGATATATGTACATAACACATCTTAGCTTGTTAATTCTTTAATTTGAGATTTATTTCAGTTTTTTCTTTGCTTTTTCATCCTTATTCTGCTTTTCATCCTTTTTTTCTATTTTTACATTTAAGTTATTCCATGTTTCCCTGTCCCCAATGTCTCCATATTTTATTATTAATTTCATTGATTTTTAGCATATATCGTTACTGGAATTTGTTTTATATTATTAACATTCATATAACTGTTGCTTTTAATTGGCTTGTATATATTTTAATGCCTGGTTTGTCATTGTCACTGCTGCAGAGTTCTTCCTCCTCTCTGAGTGGTCCTGGGAATCAGTTCTTGAGAAGACGGCTGGATAGGGAAAAGGAGAAAAGAAAGAAAACGCCACATACATATATATGTATATACATATATGGGCAACATAAATATACTAATCTCGATTCATCAAAAAGAACAGCTTACACTTTCATTGTTCAATTGTTTTATCACGTTTTCATGTCTATATTTTGTAATCTGAAGAACTATTTTGAAGGCAACACACAATATATTCACTGGTATTAATCTCCTATTATTTTGTTTTTAGATTCTGTATCATCATTTTTCTTCATTTTTAAAAAAATTTTTAAAAAGGAAGACTAAGTATTAATAAAACACTCAAACAAAAGTACAGACTATTTCCTTCCCACAGATGTATAAATCTCAATATATAAAGAGAAGAAGTATAAAAGAAAAAGCAACATTATTCCTCTATAGGTCTGCAATTTACTGGTAATTGAATTTATTCATAAAGTCTGGGTGATTAATGACTTCTAAGGGGACACAAATAGATTGGTGAACTGAGGAAGACAATAAAGGGTAAGAAGGAGCAATTCGATTAAAAGAGTTGATTCCTAAGAAGAATGAAACAAAATTCTGGAAATGAAAGCACATTAAATTAAATAAGTTCAATGGGGATGACCACCAATCAACAGAAAGAATCAAGGATAAGATATAATTTCAGGGTTGAAGATAAGTTTGAGGAATTTGTGTACACAGACACTAAGAAAGAAAAACAAAACAAGAAATTATGAACTAAATATCTAAGAACTGTGGAACATTGCTAAAAGACCAAATTACAGATTTTTGGGGTAGATGTGGGCTCTGAAATTCAGACTAATGACAGAAAAAAATGTTTAATTCATTATTAACAGGAAACTTCCCAAACTTTATAATATATATACACATCCAAATATAGGTGGCTGGCAAGAATACAGTTCAGGAAAAGAATATCAAGAATATCAAGTGCTGCAAGGTAGAAACACCAAGGCTCTTATAAAATTGAACCCATCAAAAATAGCTCCAGACATCACTGGAAAAATTCAAAAGGCCAGGAGAGCAAGAATAGTGGTTTTCAAGACCTGAAGTTTCTATAATATATTTGAATGCAAATTGCCTTAATTCTCCAACTAAAAGCCACAGATTTGCAGCCTGGATTAAGAACACTTAACTTGATGTTGCTTTTAAGAAACATTACTATCAAAGACACAAGAAGACTGAAAGTGAAAAAGTAAAAAACATTTCACACAAATGGAGCCCCAATGCAAGCAGGAGAACCTAAGGTCACATTGCAAATCTGGCTTCAAGACAAAATTAATTAGGTGAGACCAAAAAGCCCACTCCATCTAGGGAAAGTTAGCAATCCAGAGAGAAGTCGTAGTAATTGCAAATATACATGCACCGAGCACCAGTGTTCCCCGCTCCATAAAAATAAATGCACCAGTCACCATAAATGGACACATAGGTCCCAATATAATAATAGTGGGTGACTTCAGCACTCAATTCTCAAAAGTATATAGGTCATACAGACAAAAAATCAAGAGAGAAACACCAGAATTAAATTACAGCAGAGATCGAATGGACTTAACAGATGTCTATAGTATTTCATTTAATGACAACAAACACAGATTCTCAGCAGGTCATAAAAGATTCTCCAAAATTGATCTTATTTTGGACCTTAAGCACATTTTAGCAAATACAAAACACTGAAAACTTTCTTCCAATTTTGGGCCATAATTTAATGAGAAATCAACAGCAAGGAAACTCACAAAATTATACAAATGAATGAAAATTAAACCATTTGCTTTTGAATGGTACATTGTCCCTTTGAGAAATCGGGGATGAAATTAAGAAATTCCCAGAATGGTGTAAAGAGGTTCCCACATCAGTACATTAGCTGTCAATCACAGCACATCCTTACTTTCTACCATTACACAGTGCTCAGTTTTTGGTCAACCTCTGGCCAGATTTGCAAGCAGGCATCTCTTCAAAAGGCTCTGAGATTGCTTTTGGAGAACAGTATTGGAAGCAATGCATGTGCACCCAAATGAATATGTTTAATTGTGGGAATAAGCTGCCTATTATTTCCATAATCCAAGACAAATTAAAAATTAATTCCTCATGACATCTGGCTCATGTTCTTAATTGGAAGGGAAAGATACTTTAGGGAATGACTTCCCCAGGCTCCTGTGTTGCTCACCACTCATACTAAACACACTTGCAGGGAGGCAAAAGGAAAACTTTCCTGGTGAAACACCTGTGTGAGTGTATATTTCAGGAAGAGCTGAGTGAATCAGGTACCACTTTAGTTTCTTTTGAGCACACAGATGAGAATATGTACTTCTTTGTGAGATCAAGGAGAGCCTCATTCCTGAATAATCACACATTATTACAGAAGCACTTTAAAAATTCTCACTTGAGTAAGTACCCTTTAAATCATTTCAGGAAGAAAAGTAGACACCGGAACATCATAGCCATACATTAATCACTTACCAAAATTCATAAGGTTTGTATTAAATTACTTGCCTTCTTTCTGTGGAAAATGAGTCAGATCTGGTGTCTCAGTCAGTAGCCAACATACACAAGGCACTTGTGGGAGGGCAGATGGTTAGACATAAGATGTTTAGGAGTGATTTACAATCCTAACATGAGCAGACGGAAATGGAAGTCCCTCACAGTATTTCCTGATAGATGTGGACACCCCACTAGCAGAAGACATAATTAAACAGAAATAATACCTGTTTGTGAGATTCAAGAACTGATTCATGAAAGTGTGATAGGCTATAGATATGGAGGGGTGCAGATCTTTGTTTTCTTCAATGGCAACTAAGTATAGAATGATGTGGGACATAATTGATTTGAATCTTTGGAAAATCTCTTAATTCTGTAATGTTGTTTCATGCTAGTGTACCTATAATGCATATCTAAAACATATATTATATAAATGGGCCAGCATGTCTATCACTTATTCCTATACAGATATATATATATATATATATATATATATATATCTAGATAGAAGATACAGATATGTTTTATTACTCAATCTATTTGCTCCAAAATAATTTTTCACTTCACTTATTAAAGGGATTCCACAAATCATACATTTGGAAAACACGCAATCAAGCAATCAACCTGTAGGTAATAGCAGCGCAGCACTGCAGGATGGATTTGAAGAACAGTGAGTTTCATAAAACGCCTTGAAAAGCTTCTGCCTTTTGTGCCTCTGGCAGGAGGAAGTCATGGGACTCGGTATTATTTCAGTGTAAACAACAGCCTCCCACGGTAAGGTTTGCACATTAAAACTTTTTTTTTATTAGTATGTGTTTGCAAAACATAATGAGCACATTTATTATGAGGAATGTGTGCATGTATATAACACACCTTTTCATTGTAATACATTTTCAAATACCGCCAAAGTGAATGTTTTAAAGTCTTTCTCTCATCTCGAATGACATTGGTTTCCTCACTTGGTCACTAAATATATTATGCTTTTTGAAAAGTCTTCTCCATGTATTTTATTTATATTTTGTTAATGAAAATGTTGCCATCCTAAGGAAATATAAATGAAATCATGAATTACCATTTACATGTTAGAGACAACTTCAATTTACCACATTAGAGACAATTTATTTCAGAGCCAGCATACATAAATGTCATAATCACTATAGATTCCATTTTATTCAGAAGAACACAGTTGACTATTTTAGAGGCGACGTGGAGCCATGGCAGGGAACCTCTGGCACACAGGGCACAGCCAGCACACAGCGTCATCTCTCTCCGAAATCGAGACCTGTGGCCCCACCATGCTGAGCACCCAATGTTCAGGTTTAACTGTATTGTTGTCAGTTTGAGGTAAATAAGTGAGTTTTGGATTGCAGTTTGGGGACTGATCTCTAAAAGGTTCACCATCACTGGAATGAAGACAGATATACCTGTTTCATATTGATTAATATTTGCACAAAGTGCCATTCCCGCCTCCTCCATTCACCTGATCAATGCTGAAGTTGCTGCCTGTGTCACTACCCATAAGGGGTGCAGTGCCTGTGAGCCTGAAAGGCTCTGTCAGGAGGAAGCCAGTCTCTGGACCCATTTCAACTTGCAGTTGTTATTCTACAGGTTTTGAATCACTCTCTAATAAAATGCAAGCACTTAAAAGGCCACCAAACAGATATGGAACTGACTGATTGTTACATATTTGTCAGGACCCTGTGCTGACACATATTTATCAAAAGATTGCTTCGTTAGTCTGATAATCAACTAGCGAAATATAATCAACAAGAATTTTAACTTGAATGTATTTAACTGTTAATGAAACTGAGCTTTTTTTAAGTTTAGACTTTATCATAAGGACATTTTAAAAAAAAAACTCAGCCCATTTTCAATTCTCCTGTGTTTAAGACTGCTCTGGGAAACTGATTTTTATTAACAGAAATTGTGCTGCTGACTGATATATATGTCATGAAAGTGTTGCATGATTTAGGCACATGTATTTTGTTTTCAGAATGATATTGGGAATATAAATACATTATAAATTAAATAAGAACTTTTAGATACTATTTAATAAATGCAAAATAATATTAATTCCATTTTATATCTGCTCCCTCTTACTTGAATTTAGGGCAAAGAATACTAAATATTACACTTAGAATTCCTCTGGAATTATCAGTGATGACTGGAGAATCTCAAGGTCATTTTCTAAATCCCAGTGCTCGCCTGAAATCTTGAAATCTGAGTATTTGACTTTAGTCAATTTTTCTCCCCTTTTTTCACTATGTTAGCTTTAGTGGCTGTTTCTAAGTCATTGTGGAAGGACTCAGTAAATAATGATGGGAAGAACTTTATTTTTGATTTCATAGCATAATGAAAAGTAAAATGCATTTAATAATAAAAGCCAAATTTAGAACTCAAAAGAACTAGAAATTTTTGAGCAATCAATTTGATAAAATTTAGACAAAGGTAAGATATTAGAACCAGTCTTATTCTGGACTGTACTGGCTAGAGTGTTCTTCATTTTGTCATTGTTAAAATTTTATGCTTCTTACTTTTGTCTGTTTCTATCTGCCTGTGTCTCTGTTTCTGTCCCCTGTGTCTCTCTCTCTTGGTCTCTGTGCCTCAGTGTCAGCCTCTCTGTCTCTCTCTGTGTGAGAAGCTGCTGAACTCAAATAATGCAAAAGCTTCTAACTAATTTAAACAAGTCATTGCTTAAAACTGATGAAAAAAGGATCTATTATTTATGCCAAATCCCCTTAAAAATCCTTAACTATGTTTGAAGAAGCATTTTCTCTTTAATTATTTTATTTCATTATTTTAATGTGCAATAGGTAACTGAATTGAGTAAAAGGTATAAGTTCCCTACTTTTCAGAAAAGCAGCATAGGATTGATGAGTGATGTCCCACTGGGAGTAGTGTGGATTCATGATGGACAATATGTGTTCAGTCTCCACATTTGGAATTCACATTAAATTTTGTCTTTTTTTGTTGACAGATTAAGGGTTTTCAACCTGTGATTTCCCAACATCAGTTGAAACAATGCATATAACAAACAATGTAACTGAGTTTGTGCTGTTAGGATTGACCCAGGATCCTCTGAGGCAGAAAATGGTATTCTTCATCGTCTTGATTTTCTACATGGGAACAGTGGTGGGGAATCTGCTCATTATTGTGACCATTAAGTGCAGCCGGACACTAGGGAGCCCCATGTACTTCTTCCTCATCCACCTGTCCTTTGCTGACTCCTGCTTCTCAACGTCCACTGCCCCTAGACTGATTGTAGACGCCCTCTCTGCCAAGAAAGTGATCTCCTACAATGAGTGTATGACTCAAGTCTTTGAACTCCATTTATTTGGCTGCATGGAGATCTTCGTCCTCATCCTCATGGCTGTTGATCGCTATGTGGCCATCTGCAAGCCCTTGCGTTACCCAACCATAATGCGCAGACAAGTGTGCCTCATCTTGATTGTTCTTGCCTGGATAGGGTCATTTATCCATTCTACAGCTCAGATCATCTTGGCTTTGCGCTTGCCCTTCTGTGGACCCAATCTGATTGACCATTACTGCTGTGATTTGCAGCCCTTGTTGAAGCTCACCTGCATGGACACCCACATGATCAACCTGCTGGTGGTGTCCAACAGTGGTGCCATCTGCTCAAGCAGTTTCGTTTTCCTGATGGTTTCATACTTTGTCATCCTGTATTCACTGCGAAACCACAGTGCAGAAGGGAGGAAGAAGGCTCTCTCCACTTGCACTTCTCATATCATTGTCGTTATTTTATTCTTTGGTCCCTGTATATTCATATATACACGTCCCCCCACCACTTTCCCCATGGACAAGATGGTGGCAGTATTTTACACCATCGGAACACCCTTTCTCAACCCAATCATCTACACACTGAGGAACACAGAGGTGAAAAATGCCATAAGAAAGTTATGGCATATTAAAATTACAGCAGAAATCAAAGGGTGAATAGTTGGCCCAGCATGACTAATTTTTTCAGTTACAATTTGACTAAATGTAGTTATGTAACATGATGATGTCTAAATATTGCAGATATAAGATCCTAGTTTATATACCTTAGAAACTGTTAAATACTATGTATCTCGATCTATCTATCTACACTATTAATTGCAAAAAGCATGATCTTTGTGTCAATGATAGATACAGATTAGCCCAGTTGTGTACCAAGTCTTTCTTCCTTAGGTTCTCTCTTTTCCCTTATTTGTCCACACCAACCTTTTATACTTTAATTATATTTATTTTTCTTACTAATAAAGTAATAAACTAATAAGCTGAGTTTCTGGTCATAGAACAGTGACTTTCCTAAAACTTTTTTTTTTTTTTTACTTTATTATAAGTGAAAGGGTTGTTGACCCAGACGGGATGCTGTAGCCAGAAAAAACCTCAGCCAGAATTAGGGAGCTCCTGTGTCCCCTGCCCCTAGAGATTTACCTATAACCCTATACCCCCCACCCTTCAGAATCTGCCCCTGGCACCAAATGTGTGACAATAAAATACCTGTGCATCTCTAATATAACCTTAGGGCACTGCCCTAAGCTTAGGCTACTTATATTCCCCCATGCACATGTCCGCGTGAGAGAGACTGCCAGATTCCAGGGCCCAGCACGCCAGTCCTCTCTCTCCGTGTTCCCAGAATAAAGGCCTTTTTTGTTTTATACTCCTCATCTTTTGGAAATATTTTTCATCTTCTGGAAATAATCCTATTAATAAGCTCAATTCTGATACTATTTCCTGTGAAGCACATATCAAACTCTGTCTACATACTGTTTTAACAAAAAGGAAAACACTCATACAATAAGATATTTTGAAACTTGCAATCATCCACAAATGAAATGAGTTCTCTGAATTTAATTCATTCTATAACACATTTCTGATAAAGAACTGAACTGCTTCTGGGACACTCCTAGAGATATAGGAGAATAAAACTCTCGACCTACTATGCCCACACTACTATGTCCACAAGTTCGTGTTCTCTATAACTGAAGACTGAACTTTAGGTACAAGGGAGGTGAAGACTAGAATATATTTATTGAGAGAAAGAAAGCATCTGTCTGAGAGGGAGACAGAAGGGTACCCAAGCAGGTTGCCCAGGACTCTGTCTTTTCTAGGAACTTTTATAGAGTAAAACCATGGATTCAAGGTGGGAAAAGACTGGGAACTCACAAGGCAGATGGGCATGAGTTGGGACATAACTATAGTTAGCCAATAAGATCAATAGTTCAGGTAAAATTGATTACATTAGGGACAAAGGGGGAAGCCAGTCACTTGGAAAGCAGACATTCCTAAGGAGCAGTGACTCTTCCCTAAAGAGATGAGAACTATTTCAGGTATCAGTTTTCGGATATGGGTGCATTTGTATGGTCTTTTGTCTTGAGGCCTGGTCCACAGCAGGAGGCATCAGTTCCCCCCACCCAGTTGCCAGGTATCTGCACTGGCTCCATTGAGGACCTTATCCTGTCTCACTGCCTATAATATTTTTAACTAACTTAGCTGCATGCAACACTAGGGTAGGGGGATTACCCAAGTACGTTAAGGCTGTTCATTTCATTTTATCAGTAGTTTGGGTAGCGAGTTACAATTTTAAACAGAGGCTTTTCTCATGTATGAAATTATAACCTTATTTGATCTTGTTTTCTGTAGCTAGTGATACAATTTTTATGAGATCCCCAGATGAAATTTAATCAATAGTTAACAACCGTTCAAACACAAATCATTAGAACTACATATTTTCACAGTTAAATGTTAACAAACATGTACGGAAGTAATTAAACCAATTTTCTACAGTAAGTATTTGACTTGAAGGTTCTTTTCTAGATATTTAAAAAGGACTTGAGAACTGGGTCCTTTTTTCTCCTTGTGTATATATGCCTACAGAGCTGTAGGTCATAAAATAATTGTTTTAAAAAGTAAGACAAACACTTAAAATGTATTCGTGGGCACAGAGAACCATTTACAATATTTTATAACACAGAAATAACAGAACAGATTTTATTTACAGATAAACATATTGAATTGTCTTTGTGGCTACAAATGTTTGAAATTTGGTATACACTGTGAAACTGTTCATTTCATATTTGAAAAGAAGCTAGACCAACTCACACATTAGTGATATGTTTATTATTCTTAGTTTAACTATAGATAAATGTTGAAAAAGTTATAAGCTTGCCCTAGACAAGCTAATGGGTTGCTAATAAACCCTATCTATCTATCTATCTATCTATCTATCTATCTATCTATCTGTATCATATGTCTACCAAAAAACACACAGTGACTCAGGTGGCTAAAATCATGAAAAATTGCAGTGAGGGCCTTTGATTTCACTTTACTTCCAATGTTTACTTCTTTTTAAAGTGGTACTATTCTTGTAATCCAAAAAATGAGTCCCTTAAAACCCCAACCTTGAGTCCAAAAATGGGGCAAGACATATTTTTAAAAAAGCAGCGCTGATTTATTTTATCCTTAGCCCAGTGACACAGTGCAGTTGGTGTTTGCAAAAGCTGTGTGTCTCCCTCAAAACTTTCTAGACTTTTTGTAGAAAGCACAGTTTACAAAGTAAGGGGTTATGGGCGTGGATCAGGAAATGAAAGATCCTTGATTTCCTTTGAAACCTTTGTTTCCCTTTTCAGAGGACAGAGATGTCTCACAGGAATTAGCAATCCTTTGTCAACTTATTTTTGCTCTCGATTTTAGATAACATCTGTTGTTTGCAGAGGGTTGCAATGGTTAACATATCAATTAGGTCAGGTTCCCAAGGATTTACAATTCTTTACAGATGGGGGTATTGATTAACATATCAATTAGGTCACCCAGAAAAAATGACCCATACAAAACAGTATGGCGGCATTACAGGTACTTTGGTTGTATAAGTTAGGCATAACACAAACATAATGAAGCTCTTTTTGCTAGTGTACAGCAACTATTTTATGACTGTTCAGTCTTTTAAGGAAAAACGTAATTATTGTGATGGTTGAGATGTCAAGACTAGTTCCTTTGTAGTTAAGATTACCTGCTCACAATCATTCCATCCAAACTGAAAGTTTGCATCTACTGGAACGTAAAATAAATAAACTCACCCGACACTTTCACCAAAGTAGCTTTGCTTTGGAAAATAGTCTTGCCAAGTTTATTGAGATTAAAATTTACTAAGGGAGATAAAAACTATGTGTAAGTCGAATTCCACACCAATTTAGTTTGAGATTAGCTTATAAATTTGAAAACAATTATTGGCATTAGGAATGGGAGATTATTAGAAGAAAGGGTATAATTGAGTTTTGCATATTAAATTTAACAACAAACATTAAAGTTTGTACTTTCCTTGCATAAATGTTCTTCAAACATCCACTTAACTAGAAAATAGTTTTATACAAAATGGTTTTCTTCTGAGAAATTTATTATGGCATTTCTTTCCAAAGTTAAAAAAAAACTTTGGTCTAGTAAGTGGAATCTCAAAGATGAGTGGCCATTAAGCTGTTAACCTTCCTGAAAGGAATAAATTGAAGTTGAAGTCAGTTATTGACTGCTGTACCTCTTTCAAGCCACACATTCCTCTCACCTCTGCTCTCTGATGTGTCAAAGGTATGTGCTTTTGGTGACCACCATAATGATCTGCTCCTACGTGTGTCTACCAACAATCACACATCATCCCTGGAAAAATAAAGTGATTAAGTTAAGAGCACATCACTGTTAAACAGCATGATTCTACCTTTAACCTAGAAATGCATCGTGAGGATTCTGAGTGCTCTATGGATTGCTTTTTACAAAATACAGAAACAAAATAAAGATGAGGATATTTTAAGTAGTACAAATTATCAAAGAACAATCATTTTGGTTCCTTTTATATCAGTACTGCAGATCATAAATATGCCTGAAGGTGGCATAAGATCATTTAAAGAGTCAGTCAAATGTGTCATGGCCCTCTTCTCACACTGCGTATTTGAGGAGGGGTGTGCAGAAAGTGGAGCATATTTTCTAATTATAAGTACATGTATATAAAATTTTAATAAATCCATAACTTATAACATGTATAATCATTTTATGCAATTTTGGATGATATGGAACTTTGGACTTATATTCATTGAATTTCAAAGATAATCAAATATATTCTGAGTACCAAATTACATTCTCATAGCACAATTGAATGTAATCTGTTATCTTTTGTAGGTAAGTCTTTGCATTTGTACATTCTCCACATTCATCAAACTAAGTATCTAAAAATTAATGTAACTGAGCTCATTCTGCTGAGAGTGGCACAATGTTCTGCTAGGAAGAAAACAGTCTTCATCACTGTTTTGATTTTTTATGCAAGCACTTTATGGGGGAACTTCATAATTATCATTACTGTCAAGACCATTTGGACACTTGGGAGTCCACTGTAATTCTTCCTTTTCTATTTATCCTTATCTAACACCTGCTTCTCTACTTCCACAGTCCCTAGGACAGTTGTGTGCAGTGTTGTGAAGCAAACCACTATGACATTATTCAAGTGTTTTCCTTGCATTTCTGTGGCACCCTGGAGGTCTTCACTCTGATCCTCATGGCTGTGGATCACTACATGGCCATCTGTAAGCCCCTGCACTATATGACCATCATGAACAGCAGGGTTTGCAAAGTGTCAGTGGGTGTGGCCTCAGATCCTGCATGCATTCTTTATTTCAGACTTTCATGCCTTGAGTTTGCCTTTCTGTGGCCCCAATGTGATTGACTACTATTTATGTGACTTAGATCCCCTGCTGGAACTTGCCTGTGCATACACCTACGTGGTCAATCTGCTCCTGGTGTACAAAAGTGGGACTCTTTGCTTAGAGAGCTTTTTCCTGCTGATGTTCTCATATGTAGTCATCCTGAATTCTCTCAGGAACCACAGTGCTGAATGGAGGAGAGAAGCTCTCTCCACCTGTGGGAGAAAAGCTCCCACATCACTGTGGTCATCCCATTCTTTGTATCATGTG